GAATCTTATTTGAAACTGCTGACTAAGGCTAAGGCTAAATACGATAAGATTGTTATTCACGTCAGCGGTAATGACACCCGGTTACACCAATCGGAGGTCACTAAAATTAATGTTGCTTCGGTGTGTGACTTTGCTAAAACCATGTCGGACTCCGTAGTTTTCTCCGGCCCCCTCCCCAACCTGACCAGCGATGACATGTTTAGCCATATGTCGTCGTTTAACAGCTGGGTGTCCAGGTGGTGTTCTGACAACGACGTGGGCTACATAGATAACTGGAGTTCTTTCTGGGGAAAACCTGGTCTGATGCGGAGAGATGGCATCCATCCCACTTTGGACAGAGCCGCTCTTCTTTCTAGAAATATGGCTGATTTTGTTTATCCTCCAAATTAATGACAACCCAGGGTCCAGTCCAGGAAGCAGAGTTGTAGTCCTCCACACCTCTCTGCTGCTTCTCCTCTGTTACCCACCCACACCCCCATTGAAACAGTGTCAACTCGCCCACGGCTCAAATTAAATAAACCAAAAATCAGCTCTAAAAATATAAACCATAAAAATCGTATTAAAATAAACACAATTACTTTACCAGAGCAAAATCATAAAATCATTAAATGTGGATTATTGAACATCAGATCTCTTTCCTCTAAATCCCTGTTAGTTAATGAACTGATAACTGATCATCATATTGATTTATTCTGTCTGACAGAAACTTGGCTACAACAGGAGGATTTTGTTAGTATAAATGAATCCACTCCTGTTAATTATTTAAATTTTCATGTTCCTAGAACAACTGGCCGAGGTGGAGGAGTAGCTTCTATTTTTCAGTCAGGATTATTGATTAATGCCAAATCAGTTATTAGTTATAATGCTTTTGAATCGCTGTCCCTCAGTCTTTCTCATCCAAAATGGAAATCAGAAAAGCCACTTTTACAAGTTGTTATATAGCGTCCACCAGGCGCTTACTCTCAGTTTTTGTTTGAATTCTCAGAATTATTAACTGACTTATTATTAAATACTGATAAAATCATCATAATGGGTGATTTCAATATTCATGTAGATGTTGAAAGTGATAGCTTAAGCATAGCCTTTAATAATTTAATAGACTAATTTGGTTTTACCCAAAACGTCCGCACATCTACTCATTCTTATCTTCACACTCTTGATTTAGTTCTGACCTATGGTATAGAGATTAAGGACTTGGTAATAGTTCCTCAAAATCCTATTCTGTCCGACCATTTTTTAATAACCTTTGAGTTTACATTAAATGACTACACAGTCACTGAGAGTAAATTTCATCTCAGCAGGTGCTTATCAGAAAATGCTGTAACCAAATTTAAACAATCTCTTCCATCAATGTTTTCCTCTGTCTTGCAGAGTAATGCATCAGAGAACAATGACTTAGATCATCTAGTTGATCATCTTACAACTTCAATGCAAACTTCACTTGAAAATTGCTCCACTGAAAAAGAAAGTAATCAATCAGAGGAAACTGGCTCCTTGGTTCAATTCTGAGTTACATACTTTAAAGCAGGCATCTAGAAACCAGGAGAGAAAATGGCGCTCTACTAATGTTGAAGAATTTTATTCAACTTGGAAAGATAGTCTGCTAACATATAAAAAAAGCTCTCCGTAAAGCTAGAACTTTATATTACTCATCTTTCATAGAGGAAAATAAAAATAACCATAGGTTTCTGTTTAGTACTATTGCTAGACTAAATAAAAGGCACATTTCTGTTGAACCATGTATCCCTACAACTATAAGTAGTGATGACTTCACGAGATTCTTTATAAATAAAATTATTTCAATTAAAGAGAAAATTCAAACCTTCCTTCTACTATCTCTAGCCCCCTGTCAAATGAGGCAACTTTAAAAATTTCACTAGAGCCTGATTTATGTTTGGACAGTTTTTGTCCTGTTGAGCTCTCTGAATTGTCAAAAATAATAACCTCATCCAAACCATCCACATGTCTGCTAGATCCCATCCCAACCAGACTGTTTAAAGAGGTATTTCCCCAAATTAATGTCCACGTTTTGGATCTACTTAATTTGTCTTTAATGGATGGTTATGTACCACAGCGCTTTAAGGTTGCTGTAATTAAACCTTTACTTAAGAAGTCTGACCTTGATTCAGAAATTCTGTCCAACTATAGACCTATATCTAATCTAACTTTCATCTCAAAAATTCTAGAGAAAATAGTTGCAGGTCAGTTGCGTGAACATTTACAAAGAAATAATCTGTTTGAAGAGTTTCAGTCAGGGTTTAGAGCTTATCATAGCACAGAAACAGCACTAGTAGAAGTCACTAATGATATTCTCATGGCCTCAGACAATGGACTTGTGTCTATACTGGTCCTGTTAGACCTCAGTGCTGCATTTGATACAGTTGATCATAATATTTTACTACAGAGGCTTGAATATGATGTTGGAATTACAGGAACGGCTCTAAAATGGTTTAAATCATGTCTATCTGATTGATTCCAGTTTGTAAATGTAAATAATAAATCTTCTTCATACACCAAAGTTCTGATGACACACAATTATATTTGTCCATTAAACCCAATGAATCCAATCAGCTACTTAGATTACAAGCATGTCTTAAAGACATAAAAACCTGGATGACCCTTAATTTTCTCCTGTTGAACACAAACAAAACTGAGGTTTTGGTTTTTGGACCTGAGCACCTTAGGAATGAATTTTTCAATCTTTCTCCCTCCTTAGATGGCATTAATCTGTCCTCCAGCTATTATGTTAAAAATCTTGGTGTTATTTTTGTTCAGGACATGTCTTTTATCCTCCACATTAAAAACGTTACTAGAACCGTCTTCTTCCACCTGCATAATATCGCTAAAATTAGAAACATCTTATCTAAAAATGATGCAGAAAAACTGGTCCATGCATTTGTCACATCTAGACTGGACTATTGCAATGGTTTATTATCTGGGTGTCTAAATACTTCTTTAAAACGTCTTCAGTTGATACAAAATGCTGCTGCCAGAGTCTTAACTGGAGTTAGTAGGAGAGATCGTATCTCTCCAGTTTTAGCTTCTCTCCATTGGCTCCCTGTAAAATCCAGAATAGAATTCAAAATCTTACTTCTAACCTACAAAGCTCTCAACAACCTGGCTCCATCTTATATTACAGATCTTATTGTTCCATATTTTCCTAACAGACCACTTTGCTCTCAGACTAAAGGTTTACTTGTGGACCCTAGAATTTACAAAAACATAATGGGAGGAAGATCTTTCAGTTATCAGGCTCCTCTCTTGTGGAACCAACTTCCAATCTCTGTCCGTGAGGCTGACACATTATCCAGTTTTAAAACTAGGCTTAAGACTTTCCTTTTTGCTAAATCCTATAGTTAGGGTCGGCTTGGGTTTCCTGAGCTGTCCCTTAGCTATGCTGCTATAGGCTTAGACTGCTGGAGGACAAACTGACCACAATTTTCACTCTGCTACTGTCTTTACTTACTCTGCTCAACCTGTTTTGTATTTGTAACTATTTTTTCTATCCTTAACATGTGTTTTTTTTGTCTTTCAGGTTCACCTGGACCTTTACCTGGACCTACCATTTTATGTTCGTCTGTCTCTCCTTCCTGTCCTCTCAACCAGCCAGTCAAAGCAGATGGTCGCTTGTCCTGAGCCTGGTTCTGATGGAGGTTTTTTCCTTTTAAAAGGGAGTTTTTTCTTTCCACTGTTGCCACTTTGCTTGTTCAGGATGGGAGACTGCAACGAAGTGAAGATTCAACTTGTCTGCTGGATTCTTTAGATAGAGAACTTTACTAATTGGCTTTTATGTATGTGAATGTTCCTGTAAAATGCCCTGAGACAACTTTGTTGTGATTTGGCGCTATATAAATAAACTGAATTGAATTGAAGACATTTTTTCAGGCTTGTTCTTGTTGTAGCATGGCATGAGGGCTAATAAATAAAATAAACTGACTCCCCAATGTAGGGTTTCTGGGGTCTTGTCTTACATGTTGTGTTTTCCCTCATGTTTGCCTGTCACCCCTCAGCATTTCTCCTCCTGTGTTCCAGCACTGTCGCACCTGTGTCTAATCCTAATCACCGCAGGTGTCAGTTATTTCACCTTGTTAGTGTCTGTATATATTCAGCCCCTTGGTGTCTTGTCAGTGTCTCTGGATTGTCCTTGTCCTAAGGCTTCATGCTCTGTATCCCTGTGTGTCCTCCTAAAGTAAGTTTGCTGCCCCGACAGCATTTTGTTTTGTTTATTTAATTAATAAACTGTTTTGACTTATTTACTGGAGCCTCATTCCCTTCCTGCACGTGGGTTCGAACACGCAAGTCAGATCATGATACCCAATACTCTAGGAATAAAAGACTAATTCAAAGGTTTCTGATTTATTTGTCCAAGATGTTTAATAAAGACTTCTTTAAGTTTCAACAATAAAATGCAGGTTTTCATCAACTTATCAGAAAGTTGTTTTCTTTACAATTAAGGATAATAGAGGATAGATGGAGCTTGTCCAAGGGCCACTTTTGACCCACAGACCATATACTGTTTGATTTACATGGTTTGATCAATAACTCTGTTCCTTCACATCATCAGATGATCTTCATATAAAACTCTGGCATGAATTGTAGCGGGTGATATGTATTCCTTCACAGTCTTTGATGTTGTGTTCATCTCATGTTAAATCTGACAAGGAACTGATATTTTATGTCCCTATATTAAAAAAGCACAAGAACTAGTTGAAGCTGGACTCACATTTCATGATTACTGTACATTTATGTAAACGTGGTGTTTGAACTGGAACAGACTAAAAGACTTTCCAACACTTACTGGGTACTCTACGTCTGTAATCCCTGGATGGTAATAACAGTTACTGGGCCATCTTTGGACGCTGAGGACAATCTAATTGTAACTTCACCAAACAGCTTATTTAAATCAAATCATTGGGCATCATGACTCTGGGAGAAGGAAAGCGACAGTGACCAGACACATCAGACTTAGACATGTAATCAGCAGGTGAGTCTCCCTGTACCTGGTCCAGGTAACAACTGGTTTAGGGTTTCCTCCATTTATGCACCTCAGGACTGCATTTTCCATCCCAACAGTCCAGTCTTCTTTGTACCCAGACACCTCAGCATGTGGAGGGACTGGAAGGAAGAACAGTAACATTATTATTATTATTCATTTCAGGCAATGGAGGAAAAGATGACTGCAGTTTGTCTCCCTGTACTGACTACAGATAGATTTGACTGAATACCTTCTAACCCTTACGTCTTACTTCTAAACACATCGGCTGTACTGCACATTGACTCCATAGACGCTGCCCTCCTTATGATTCCCTGCTCCTGATTACTCACATGAGTCATTCAGGACTATCAGATTGCAGATGTAAGAAAAGGGGGTCCGGCCCTCTCCACTCATGTCATTGTTTTTAGTATTTCTCTGCCTTCTGAAAGCAGATGTATTACATTTCCAACTTCAAAACCAACTTTAAACCTTTTCTCTTTGTGATAGCTAGAAAAGCCTTTTGAAGAATTTTTATGCAGTCTACATTCATCCAGTTTGTTCTATCCTTTAATTCAATGTAAATATGATGTTAATATGATAATTGTGCTTCAATACTTTGTGTCACTGTATTGAAAGCATTCCTATGAATACATGGCTGATGTTCTGTTTTTTTCAAGATTTTTAGATTCCTGCCATTTAGTAAATAAAGAAGCAGGTGTGTGTCCCCCATTGCTGAAGGATTTGAATAGTGAATGTTTGTAGTTTTACAGATGAGTGTTTTTCTGGACTAGAATTGAACAGAGAATGCAGCTTGCTGGGAATTGTTGGTCAAAGTTTAAGGATGTTTGTATTACTATGGCTGAGAATCTAACTCTGCCCATGAAACACATGCTTAGGTTAGCAGATAGAGCTGAGTGAGGCTGCAGCAGCTGGCAGCCACGGACACCTCCAAGTTCTGTGAACTCAGCTGAACTGATAAGGCTATAAAAGCAAGTGGAGGAGGCAGCTTGTGGTAGATTCTCGTGACTCGTATTCATGTGTGTACTTTATGTAACCTGTCCTGAAAATCTGACCTTGTAAGTAAATACTGGTTAAAAATATTTTCCCGCCATCAAGTGTGGTTCTTTTTGAGTAAGAGAAGTGAGAATATTTTTCTCCAACACAGGTAAACGTTTTTAGTGCAATATATTACAAGAGTACACGTGTTACTCTGTGTAGAAGAATAGAGTTAGATTTTATTTATTTATTATTTGTTTGTTTATTTATTTATTTCTTGTCTGAGTCCAGTCAAAATGGTGGAGCAAAGGGGTGGCCATTTGTAGCTTTTGCTGGAGCGGTTCGCAGCCGAATGCGACGTGGCTGGGATTAGGATCAGTTCCTCCAAATCCGAGGCCATGGTCTTGAGCCGGAAAAAGGGTAGAGTGCCCTCTCCGGGTCGGGAAGGAGGTCCTACCCCAAGTGGAGGAGTTCAAGTATCTTGGGGTCTTGTTCACGAATGAGGGAAAAATGGAGCGTGAGATCGATAGGCGGATAGGTGCAGCATCTGCAGTGAAGCAGGCGCTGTACAGGTCTGTCGTGGTGAAGAGAGAGCTGAGTCAAAAGGCGAGCTCTCAATTTACCGATCTATCTACGTTCCTACCCTCATCTATGGTCATGAGCTTTGGGTTGTGACCGAAAGAATGAGTTAATGAGTTTTCTCCGCAGGGTGTCTGGGCTCTCCCTTAGAGATAGGGTGAGAAGCTCGATCATCCGGGAGGGACTCAGAGTAGAGCCGCTGCTTCTCCACATTGAGAGGAGCCTGTTGAGGTGGCTCGGGCATCTGTTTAGGATGCCTCCTGGACGCCTCCCTGGTGAGGTGTTCCGGACACGTCCCACCGGAAGGAGGCCCAGAGGAAGACCCAGGACACGCTGGAGGGACTATGTTTCTCGGCTGGCCTGGGAACGCCTCGGGATTCCCTCGGAAGAGCTGGCCCAAGTGGCTGGGGAAAGGGAAGTCTGGGCCTCCCTACTTAGGCTGCTACCCCCGCGATCCGACCCCGGATAAGCAGAAGAAAATGGATGGATGGATGGATGGATATTAAGTACCTGTACGAAAGATATTTTGTGAACAAGTTACTTAAGTTTTTCTCTTAAATAAATGTAAAAATAAAAATACCTTAATCTAACACAAAAACCTATGATACATTTTTTAACATTTATGTCAGTATACCCAACTTAAATAATCAGTTATGTGATAGTCAGAGATTTTATTAAGGGAATATAACTTATAAATATAGTGAAATTTACTACGACTCGGAATGACTTTTTAGAGTGCAAGGGCCACCCCATTAATTTGAGGAAACTATACTTTTAAGCAACATAAAACTAGAAAGCATAATTCCCTAACATGAATGGTGTGGTGGCCGAAGATTAATCTTATTGGTTACCCCTTGGCTCTGCCATTGCACCCGGTGGTGGATAAAATTGCTCCTTCTACTCACCAGGATCCATCACTCTGAGCTGCCTCGAACAAACAAACAAAAAACACCTTTCTTCTTCTACACAGTAACTTCAACCCACTTTAATATCGTGCATCAGAAGCATTAAGGTTTATTTGAATTCCTTTGGGGTTTGTTCAAAGACGTTTGACGTTGGGATATTTGATAGGAGCTACATTGACACACTTTAAGATATTTTCTACAGTGGCCCTGAGGTGTAAATGAACAACATTTGAAAAAAATGGAATTACATTTGAAAAAACAGAATTACATTAAGCCAATGCAGAAGTGGCCAAAGCGGAAGTGGCCGGAATCACATTTGGAAAAAGGTATTACATTTGAAAAAAATGGAATTATGTTTGAAAAAAATGGAATTATATTAAGCCCAACCACTTCAGGGCCACCGTAGTTTTATGTTAATAAAGTTTAAAAAAAAACCCACTAACACCCCCCCCCACACACACACACACACACACACACACACACCACCACCACCACCACCACCACCACTTCTGGTTTGGCTTAATGTAATTACGTTTTTTCAAACGTAATTTTGTTTTTTTCCAAATGTGGTTCTGGCCACTTCTACTTTGGCTACTTCCACTTTGGCTACATCCACTTTGGCCACTTCTGCTTTGGCCACTTCTGCTTTGGCCACTTCTGCTTTGGCCACTTCCACTTTGGCCACTTCTGCTTTGGCCACTTCCACTTTGACCACTTCTGCTTTGGCTTAATGCAACTCTGTTGGTTTTTTTTTTGGTCGTTTTTTTCACACGTAATTCTGTTTTATTTTTCAAATGTTGTGTTTTTATTGTTTTTGTTGTGTTTTTTCTAATGTAATTCTGTTTTTTCAAATGTTGTTCATTTACACCTGAGGGCCACTGTAATTTTCAGAAATGTTCTTGTACTTTTATGAACTGTGTTGGTCGTGCCGGGTGGGGGGGGGGGGAAGAAAAGACTACTTCCAACTGTTTATTCCACCTCCTCTGTGTAACCTTGATGGATACTCACAGTGCACCACCAGCTGGTTTTCAATCCTGCGTGGGGTGGGTAGAAGGGGATGCCACACCAGGCAGTCCAGCTTCTTGCCATTTAGACCCCTGAGAGGGTACAGGGAGAAGTGTGTGGAGACTGCTCCGTTGTCAGAGGAGCGGTTGACGACTTGTCCGTTCAGCTCAGTGTCCCAGGAGAGTTTTGGTGGCGGGTGGCCCACAGAGCGACAGGAAGCCACCTGTTTGTAGGGCTCCCCCTCCACTACAACCACAGGGTCCACAGAGGAAATGGGAATGGCTGCAGGGAGGAGAGTTACATGGTCCCATCAAAGTGCTGATCAATTAAAATCTTCAATCCTCAACCCCACTTTATATAATCTGATATACTACTCTGATACTTTAAACGAGTTACTCATTCAAGCCAAAATCCCTTCATATTGTAAGACTGTGTGCACCACTTTTACCCTTTCAGTAAAGTTCAGAGAATAACTGAAGAGGTGAAACAGCGTAACAAGGCAAAATTGATCTGGCCTCTGAAAGCCATGTGATGTTATTTCTATTTAATGTTTTAGCCAGAATCATTCTATGGGCTCCTCAATAATATTTGTTGTGCCTGATGCTACTTATTTTTAGAAAAAGGTACATCAGCTTATTGTCTGAAAAAACTGATAGTGTGGGTGTTGAGGATGCGTCATCCGAACAATGAAAGATGGACTCACTCCATACAATGAGGGACATCTCTGTGTCAAAGTTTCCAGTTGGGAAAGTGCTGATGCGGCAGATATATTCTCCCTCATCAGAGACCCGTGTGCTCAAGATGATCAGGGATGAGTCCACAGTGGGTTTATCACTTTGAAAACGTACACGTTGAGACCACGACCCGAATGCTGCAGGAAGGGAGGGGAGAGAACTCATAATGTCTATATAAAGTCTTACATAAAACAACATAAAGCCCAACGTTACTCAGCATACTTGTCTGTCCATCAGTGAAGTGAGCAGTGATCATCTGATCTTTGGAGCCATCGGGGTTCACCTTGGACCAAGTGACCTGCACCACCACATCATCCCCCTTCGGCTCGTGGTGACAGGGCAGGGTGGTCTCCTGGTCCTCCACAGAGCGTAAGGACAGTTTTGTAGGCTGATCCACAGACGCTGTCTGCATTTGTCCCTGCACCACCGTGACTGAAACACAAGTAGAGATATATTATTAATAAGAAAGCCATAAAATCACCCCAACACCATCCAGAAGAAGTTTTTTTTTTCATTTTCATCACTCATATTTGAAGATCTTATTGTTCCATATTTTCCTAACCGAGCACTTCGTTCTCAGACTGCCGGCTTACTCGTGGTTCCTAAAGTTTCCATAAGCAGAATGGGAGGAAGATCTTTCAGTTATCAGGCTCCTCTCTTATGGAACCAACTTCCAGTTTCTGTCCGTGAGGCTGACACATTGTTCAGTTTTAAGACTGAGCTTAAGACTTTCCTTTTTGATAAATCCTATAGTTAGGGTCGGCTTATTATGCTGCTATAGACTTATACTACTAGAGGACAAACTGACCTCATTTTCTTAAATGATTTACTAAAATTGAACAGTTTCCATTTGATACTATATCTATCTTAACGTGTTTCTTGACCTGCCATTGTGTATCTGTTCCTCCTTCCTGTTTCTCTCAAACCCAGCTGGTCTAAGCAGATGGCCGCTTGTCCTGAGCCTGGTTCTGCTAAAGGTTTCTTCCTCATGAGGGAGTTTTTCCTTTCCACTGTCACCTTAATGCTTGTGTAGTGAACTAAGCCTCAGGTCAAAAGCCTTCCTGGGACAGGAACTGTTATTTCATTGATTTGAGTCCAGAAACACAGATTAAGCTCATCCAGAGACTTTCTAAGTGTGTCCTGCACGGATCAATTGAAAGAACACTCTCTGTTTATTATCATTACTATTTTACAATATCTTGATAATCAAAGTGTGTTTAGTTCAAACCATTTTAAATGTTGAAGTGAACTACTCATTTTAAATCAACTGTGAAACAGTATAAATGATTTTTAATCCTCATTCAAAGTAGAAATCAAGTTAGATGTCTGTTACAAAGTAATTATGCATTTTTTTTGATCTTCTGTCTGAAATGAGCAAGTTGTGATGTCGGTCAAAAGTCAAGGAACGGTCAAAAACATGTTTATCGGAACGAAATGTCATGTTTAACTCTCTCAGATAGATAGAAGGAGACTGGCTCCTAAATGTCTCTGTTTCATCAAAACATCTTTCTGTCTGTTCTTAAAACATCTACTCTGTCTCCTTGACTGTAGTGACCCTCTGACGTCACTAAAAACCACACCCCGGTTGGTTCGTTCAACCAATCAGGAAGTTCTCAGAGGAACCGGAAGTGACCTCTTTAAAAGGGTCGACACTTCCTAGTTCCAAGCAGAACAAAGTTCCAGAGCAGAACAATGTTCCAGAGAGAACCAGAGTTCCAGGGAGAACCTCGAACGAGAAGTTCCTGAACGAGAGAAGTTCAGAGGAACAGAAGTTCCGAGCAGTTTCTAATGGAGTGACAAGAGTCCGTCGATGCCACGACGTCTCGCTGTGGCTCTACCCGACGAACGCTCTGAACAATGAGGAAGTCTGTTCTGTGATGATCTCACGACTCCTGAGGTCACAGCTGTTCTTACGGAGACGCTGAAAAGAGTTGAAAGAAAACTCTACACCGAAGCCGAAACTATCGTCTGCAAAGGTAAAAGAGTCGATCTCAACTGCTAGTGTATCGTGGGTTAAGCTGCGTCCAAAGAAGCGTGTTGTTTCTGGTTATACAGACACTTTCCCTCACCCATCTCTCTCCATTTAAACTTCATTTTCCCATCTTTAAAACTCTTCTATCTGCCAGTAATTAATCCAGATATTTTCAGAAATGTCTGTTGTATTTCAGTTGCAAGTAAGAAATCATGGCCGTATGATTTCTCATTGTAAAGCTCATTAATTAAGCTGTGTTAATTGTAATCAATCTGCCAATTAATGTAAATGTGTGATGTTGTTTTAAATCGTTTTTAATTAAACGGCTCACTGTTGTGGTGGGTCAAAGATAAAACACGTTTCCGTCCACATTTAATCAATCAAGGCACGATAGTACTCAGTCCAGAAAAATGAAAGAATCCGTTTAAATAAAGGATAATATCAGACGCATATTATCTCTCATTACACTTGCTCAAGATGAGAGTTCTGTGATGGGAGTTAAATTCAAAACAGACTGCTCTTCAGATAAATAATGTTAAATTATTATTTTTATACATGAATGTTTCTGTTCAGTGCCCTGAGACGACTTCTGTTGTGACTTGGCGCTTTATAAATAAACTGAATTGAATTGAACTGAATCACTTTTTTAGTAATGCTACAATTACAGGGAAAACATGAAGGCTATGACATTTGGTAACTACTTTGTACAGTATAGACAAAAATAGTAAAAATAGAAGACTACAACTAATGATTCTTCTCAACAACAAAGGGATTTTGGGGAAAAGAATAAGAAACTGCAGTCCTCTGTAGAGATCGAAAGCTCAATACGTTGGTGAGTCTCTAGGACAATCCTGTATAGTTCTACAGAAGACATCTGAACTTTTCACTTGTTTTTTAAAAGATGTATCCCCTCTCGTCTAAAATGCTACTTGATTAATGATGTAGAATCTATTTGGATAAGATGTGACACATTTTCAGGAAAAAGAAACATCTAGGTGCCTTCAGTTGAACCACAGCTCTACAGCTCAGACTTCACTCAGTGGTGAAACCGGTCTCAGAAAGTTGGGCTTTTTGTGACTGAACTGACAGCTCAAAACTCTCATTAAAACTGAAAGCAAACCTTTTTAGTTTGGTCATATCTCCCACATGAAACAGTAGACCAATGGTTGGAAATTGAGAAGTTTGATGACCAGACGCTTCTGTCACGGTTCAAAACATTTTACAGTGATTTGTATGTTTTGCTCAGTGACTTTTGGCTTGAGGCTTACTTTTTACTCCTAGTCTCAGTCTGCTTATGTATTTAGGGGTTCTGTCAGACAGTGACAGACACGGGTGTGTGGTTACCATAGTGACCATAATGAGCCATTGGCAGCATCTTTGCCTTTTATAAGTCTAAACATAAGAATTTTGTCAAGGGAAGAAAGCTGATGATCAAGATGATCTCTCATTTTCAAACTCAGTGAAACTAAGACTGACTGCGGTTAAGGATGTAGAACACTCATTAAGTGTCCTGGGTCTTCCCCACAGTCTCCTCCCAATTGGACATGCCCAGAAATCCTCTCTAAAGAGGTGCCCAGATGCCCAAACCACCTGAACTGGCTCCTCAGAAGCAGTGGTTCTACTCTGAGTCTCCCAAAGATAAGTAAACTTCTCGCCCACTGTCTAAGAGAAAGTTGAACTACCCTGCAGAGAAAACTCATTTTGACCAACTGTATCCATTATCTTGTTCTGTCTGTCTCTATCCAGAGTTTCTAACAGTAGCTGAGGTAGGGATGTAGACCATCTAGTAAACAAAGTGCTTCACCTTGCGGATCATCTTCCTCTTCACCACAATGGACTATCACAGAGAACACAGTACTGATGAAGGTGCACCAATTCATCTGTCAATTTCACGCACCATTCTTCCCTGACCCATGAACAAATCCCCAAGGTACCTACACTCCTCCACTTGAGGCAGTGCCTTACTCCCAACCAGGAGAGTGCAAGCCACCTTTTTTCGGCTGAGGATCATGACGTCAGATTTGTAAGTGGTCATCCTCATCTCAGACAGTCTGCGAACTGCTCCAATGTGAGATAGATACAGCAATGGCAACAGGAGCACATCATTCACAAACAGCAGCGACAAACTCCTGAGTCTACACACCAAATTGTCTGCATTCTCTGGCCACACCAAGAAATTCTGTCCATATAAGATATGAACAGAACTTGTGAGTGCAGGCAGCCCTGGTGGAGTCCAACTCCCACCCTGAAGGAGTCCAACTTACTGCAGGCAATGAGAACAAAACTCTGGCACAACTTGTATAGAGACTGGATGGCTTGTAGCAATGAACCCCCAACTCCATACTCACAGAGACCCCCTTCGAGGAACACAGTGAGGGAACATGACTCAGCCAAAGTCTTTGTGAAAACGGCGGCAGGGAATAGTGTTTTATGGCTTTATTCCACTTATTTACCCATTGATGGTTCAGGTGGCTACTCTGTGACAACCCAGCCCTATTTACATGGAAAACTACTTAAAACGTGTAGAACCGATGTGGGTTGAATCAGGGTGAGTCGTGCTGAGGCTGGACAAGAAAAACATCATTTTGACTTCTTCCATGTACTGTAGTGTTATGCCATAGATATTGTCACCCAATGCCAAAAACCAAAGTATAGTTATACATCTATATCCTGGTTTACCTTTATAAGACAAAAATTTACTCCAAATCAGTTAATTTTACAGATATTTACCAAAAATGATGTTCGATTGTGGATGAGAGTCATCCACAACTCATTTTCTAAGCATGAGAGCTTTGTTTAAATTATGTTTAAACTAATGAAGTCCACTCTGACTGTTGACAGGCTGCCACAGGTAAAAAAAATTATATATATATATATATATATATATATATATATATATATATATATAT